ACTTTTATCATTTGAAAAGATCAACAATGATGGTAACCCAACCTATGTGATTGGAGTATCCCCATGAATTAGGTTCATATGGGTAATAACAAGTCATTAGTTGATCAAGTAAGCACTATAAAGTTATCTCCCTCCTATGATGTGTATATAGTGCAACAGTCTGCAAGGCAAAGTGAGGCTGTGTTAAGCTCTTAATCCAAGTCATATCCTTTATAGGTGGTGTATTGCTCTACAAAATACACTTGATGATTGGACCTATATGAGTGTGAAGTGGTGCCACTTCTATGAAATTGTGATAGATTTCTAGAGAACTCATGAATATCAGGACACGCGCATGACCTCTTAGCACAAAACCGCAATAACGACAAAGATTGTGCGAGTATAATGAGATAGAATAAGACGCTGGACTTACAAAAGAATTATTGGTTCATAGAAGTTCTAAACTTCACCAAATTATTATGCAAGTATAATCTTGTTTTATCTAGGTCTGGTTCATGGTTTACGGACACCAGATTCGATGCATTAGACTCATATGTGACAACCAAGCAAAACTTCTTATTTCATTCTATTTCTTAATATTCTTTTTTGAGATATGTAGGGGATTGTTGAAAAAATGATTCTAGTATCTCATAAAGAAGTGTTCATACTATTTTCTATATTCATCATATTAAATGAGTGTTAATATCCAATTAATTGTCTTATAAATCAGTATTAATGTTGGTCTAAATGTGGCAGTTGCCAATGTATATTTCTTCTTAAATGGCCTTCAATTCTCTTGCCATTTATCTTCATTAAACAGCCTTGTGGCCTTTTAATTTTTTTAAACGTTGGTTGATGGTTTTCTTGGGTATATATATGCCTCTTGTGTTCTTATGGAGTATAAGTGAGAAAAGACAATGAGTGATGCTTCTTATTTCTTATATTATTTTGCTGGGTTTATATTAGTAAATCTTTGTTAGTTTCTGGCTCCTAGTTTATACTAGAAGAGCTTGTTGAATCCTGGAGGATAAACTCATACCGGGTGAAATATCTATAAGGACAGTGTCTTTCGACACGCCTCAAGCTATGAGAATTTCCTACAAGAGTTCGTGGTGAAGTACAAGGTTTGGTGAATTCAGTACAAGTGTTCGTGACGAAGGTATTTTCCGTAAGATTTACAACATCAATTGCTTTCCATATATAGGAGATATGAGGGATTAATGTAACATATTTTTAGTGATATTATAATTAGGAATAACAAATATATAGGGTCTGAATAGCAGATTTTGAGGCATGTAAATCAGGGTTCTTTCTATTTAATGGAACAACTCTCAATTTTAGAGGACTCATTAGCAAACTTGACAAGAATGAAATTGATGCAGGACGACATCACCCGATGTACAATTTATAGGGAATGCTAAATGGCCAGAAAATTTGGCCAGAAATTTAAAAAGTCTATAATATCCTTTTTATTTTACAATAAACTGATTTTTCCCCATTTTTTAATTAAAAGGTATTAAAATTAAAAGGGTACAAAAGTTCAAAAAGGTAAAATAACATAGTGTAAAATATGTTATTTTACCATTCTGGCCAAAAGGATTTTTCTGAATTTATATACTAATTCAGGTACTTCAATTTCTAGGTCATCATTTAATCTACATCTCCGGTGTGCTAGTTCAGGCTTTATAGTATTTGCTTTTATCAATCCTGATGTATTTATGTGAATATCATAAATATCATGAATTGATGTTAAGGGAATATCATGAATTGATGACATTTATTATCATTTACTACATAATGAAATATATTTAGACAAGTACTCTCAACGATTTATGAGATATTTTTTGGACAAGATCTCAAAAGAACGTTGTAAACACATGAAAAAAAATATTGGGTCTAATCCATACTAAATTTGGATCAAGTCTTGAACTCATTTGGATTGAATAATTAATTTGGACTTGACAAATTAACTAAGTCTCATTTTTATTATTTTCAAACCCAACGTCCATTTCAATTTACGGCCCAAACGTTAACTCATGTCACATATTAAATGACGTAACATTTCAGTCAAATCCAAGGCCAACAAAATTATGCCATGTGTTCAAATTATGTGGCAACTCTTAGTCAAAACAAGAACGAATCAAAAGTCGCCAAGTGTTCAAAATAACGTATCTTGGCCGCTTACAAGCAAAATTTTTATTATATATATAGAGATACACCCATGATAAAATGGCATTGCTTCCTTAGAAAAAGAATGAAACAGAGCACTCAAAACTTGAGTTATCTTTCCAACTCTCTCAGTTTAAGATTCATCATTCCTTCTTGTTTACAATTTGATAACATTTTTCCTCAATGAATATTGCATCAGTCTCTTCTTGCAAAAAAGTTTAGTCTTTTAATTATTAGTTTCTAAGAGATCAAACTATATATGGTTACTTTCATATATTTTCCTGTCGATAGAAGATAAGGTGGTGATTGTTATGGATCCAACAAGACAGGTAAGTCTAGCCTTTCCAAAGATCTAGCCAATTCATTTTCAGTATAAGTTGTGAATAATTGCAAGTACAAGCTAAGTTGTTTGGACTCCAATGCGGGTGTCCGATACAGATGCAGATCAAGATGTCGGATCCTACATAATCGAAATTTTAAGATTTGGAGGTACAGAGTCTGGTGAGGGTATTCTAGTACGGATGCAGGTACCGGTGGTGATTGTTATGGATTCGACAGCACATGTAAGTCTAGCCTTTCCATATAGATCTAGCCGATTCATTTTTATAGAGGTTATAAATAGTTGACAAATACAAGCTAAGTTGCTCGGACTCTGGTGGAGGTGTCCGATACAAATGTATATTTAGAGATCGGACCCTTAATGACCTAAATTTTAAGATTTTGGTGTACGGGTCTTGGTAGGAACTCTGGTGCGGGTGTCCAAGTATGGATATAGGTACGGGTGGTGATTGTTATGGATCCAACTAGACAGGTAAGTCTAGCCTTTCCATATAGATCTAGCCGATTCATTTTCAGTAGAGGTTGTGAATAATTGATAAATATAAGCTAAGTTTCTCGGACTCCGGTGTAGGTGTCTGATACAGGTACGGATTAGAGATCGGATCCTTAATAATCTAAAGTTGAGGTACCTTCTGATCTTTCTCAGTTAAGCCTATGGACTCAGTTATTAGATCCGCAATTTATAATTATAGTGTTACTTTTCATGTTAATTTTTTTTTGGTAACTAAACACATTTTATTACCAATGTGGCAAAGTGCAGCTCAAAAAAGAAAAATAGCATCAGACCTTACTCCAACTCCGTGGACAGGCCTAGTAAATCAATATGCATAATCTCCCTATCTCTTAACCACAATTTGCTAAACTGGATAGTAATTCAGCTGATTCAAGCACCTAGCTAGCTTTCCATGCATGCTTGCTCAAACATAAACCTCTTGAATAATCTTTCTCACAATGATATACCCGCAGTGACGTGTATTTTGAAAAACTCTATGATTTCTTTCCAGCCACAACTCTTAGACAGAGGCAGCAAGTGTCATTCTGAAAATAGTAGCAACATTGCCCTTGCCTTTACACATAGTTTCATACCACTGTATTTCTCCAGCCTAGTTCATAGTTTGTCAATGGATTCCTTGCCAACACAATACTCTTCTCGACACATAAGAAGCTACAAAACACTCAAAAATAAGTGTTCAATATTTTCTAATTCGATATCACAGAGAGGACATAGAGGGTAGACCTGCATTCCCCATTTTAGCATCCTATAAAAAAACAAGTGTTCAGTATTTTCCGATTTGTTTGTTTTTTCTATACATGTTCCCCTTTTAAAGTATAACTAGTTTCAGAATATACGCATTGCATGTGTATCCCATATCTATGAATAAGTTTGTAAAAATCGCATAAATATTATGTGTATTAAAACTGTGTTAAGAGCCACAACTTGAAGTATTTTATTGTTTGAAGACCAAATGTAGAGTTGTTCATTCACTTGCAAAAGCAAAACATTTTTACTTATGCACTTTAGTACAATAACCGAAGACGGAGAAAAACGGAAACACAATTAATGTTACCAAATTTAGGTATTGAACGAAACTGTCGACCTCGTAGGCGGACCCAGTAGGGGTGCACGCGCACTCGTTCACTTTGGAAAAAATCATGTATATATATATCATCACCTTTTCCTGTAACTCCTCAACGTAATATATATCCTCACCCGTTCACTTCGGAAAAAAACCGCATTCTCCAATGTTAAATGTTGGAATGTTGAAGCCATTATCCTCACCTTTTCCTCTTAACTCCTCAACGTAATTCTTTTTTCTTTGCCTATAAATCTGAGAATTTTCCCTATTCCTCATCCTTCTTAATTTCCTCTTTTCATCTCCTTCACTATTGACCGAATCCATTTGGGTTTGGACCGACTCCGGCGAGGACTTGAAAACCCGGGTCTCAATCAGCTGACTCCCGGATTGACCGAATCCATTTGGGTTTGGGTCAATCTGACTCGGTTTTGAAACATTGAGAGATTTTGGGTTGAGAATGGTGGCAGCATCAGCATCTGCAGGTGGGAAGATGCCATCCCTGGTTAAGTCGATATCGAGGTCAAGGTTGAGGTCGTCCGGCGATGGAGGAAGTGAATTCTCCATCATACCAGTGAAACTTTCAGGCAATGTATTCAAATGATATATTTTATTATAACAGAAAAGAAGAGATAGTTTTTATATTAGAATTAAGTAAGTAGAGTCAAATTCAATTACTTTCCAAAGATGCTCTCAGGGGTTGTTTGGTTTCATGAGATTAAATTTGAGATTATTGTTAATCTTAAGATGAATCTATACCTCAAACTTGTTGTTATTAGTACCAAAATTAAGATGAATCCAGATACCTTTTGTCTGAACCAAACAATTCATTACAGTCAAATGATAAACCCCACTATATATATATAAGAGACCTAAACCCCAGTTAGCCCCAACACAAAGCCCTCTCTTCTCTGTTGTAGTAAAATTTGAATACATCGCCTAAAAATCACTGGTAAGATGGCGAATTCACATCCTCCATCGTTGGACGACCTCGACCTTGATCTGGACATCGACTTAACCAGGGATGACATCTTCCCACCTGCAGATGCTGCCACCATTCTCAACCCAAAATCTCTCAATGTTTCAAAACTGAGTCAGATTGACCCAAACCCAAATGGATTCGGTCAATCCGGGAGTCAGCTGATTGAGACCCGGGTTTTCAAGTCCTCGCCGGAGTCGGTCCAAACCCAAATGGATTCGGTCAATAGTGAAGGAGATGAAAAGAGGAAATTAAGAAGGATGAGGAATAGGGAAAATTCTCAGATTTATAGGCAAAGAAAAAAGGATTACGTTGAGGAGTTAGAGGAAAAGGTGAGGATAATGGCTTCAACAATCCAACATTTAACATTGGAGAATGCGGCTTTAAAGTCGCAGATGGGCAGCACTGGTGTGCCTTCGCAGATGCTGCTACCACCACCCCCTGGGATGTATCCTTGGATGCCTTATATGGTGAAGCCACAAGTGCCTTTGGTTCCCATTCCGAGGTTGAAACCACAAGGTATGGCTCCTGCACCCAAGAGGAGTAAGAAAGTAGAGAATACGGAGACCGAGATGAAAACCAAGAAGGTTGCAAGCATTACTTACCTTGGCTTGTTGTTCTTCATGCTTCTATATGGTGGACTGAGAAGTGGGTACAATGAAAGGCAACATGGAAGGGTTTTCACCGTTGATGGCCGAATTAATGACCATTACCGCACTCCTGCTGATGGGGATAAAGATAAAGCAAAGTCAACTATTCAGCAATGGTTCCTCGAAGGCGTTGCTGGTAAGTGCTGATAAATTACCTTCCAATTTTCCATTTCCCTATCTTGTTTAGTTAATTTTTACGTATGTGCAGGGTCTATGTTGAGCTCAGGCATGTGTACTGAAGTCTTCCAGTTTGATGTGTCTTCATCTCCCGGAGTCATTGTTCCTGCTCCCGCTGTTAGTAATGTTTCTATGGAACAGAGGCAGAATGCTACACGCACCAACAAGCGAAGAAATAGAAGGATCCTTGATGGTCTTTCTATTCCTGTTACGGGAGTTTCTCACGACGACATATCTGAAGAACATGAGGGAAGAAGTGGAAAAAAAGATGCCCTTGCTGGAAATAGTTCACGTTCTTCAATGGTCGTCTCTGTGCTAGTTGATCCAATAGAGGCAGGTGATGGCGATGGTGATGGAATGATTGGACAAAAGTCCACCTCTCGGATTTACATTGTTGTATTGATAGATAGTATGAAGTATGTAACCTATTCTTGCATGCTTCCTTTTAAAGGAACTGTTCATCTAGTGTTGTAAATGCATCTTTACTGATCCCTGAACAATTTTGTAGATTCAGGTGAAATATAGTGTTTACACCACACATAGCTTCCATTGGTAGATTCAGAAGTTGGAACGTCTCTCTAATTAGTTCAGATCAGATAACGTCTCTCTTGCGATCCTACATATTGCACTAAAGCACCTCAAAAGTGCGGGGAAATGAAGTTGAATCAGATTAATTAATACATTGAAACTTCTCTCTTATGTTCGTTCAGACCAAATAACCTTAGTTGCAATACGAAGTAATGAGGTTGCAATACCCAACCTCATTACTTCCCCGTTGCTCCCCTTGTTAGGATCCAATTTCAAGGTGCCAGAAATTGCCTGCGAGCAAGGAGTAGTGTCTTTCATCTAAAGAAATGTGCTTAACTAACTAATGACCCAAAGTCACTAGCTTAGTTTCATTGATGCTCAGAATGCCACACTAATATTTTGCCAAATGAAATGATAAAATGGTACTAAAATGATTTCAGAAAATATTTTTTATTTTTGTAAATATTTATTTCACTTTTTTATAATTCAAAATGCTTGGTCAATTAATTAAAGGGAAGAGGGTCTGAAAAATACTTTAACTTTGGCCAAAATTGTTGTTATGATACCAAACTTTATGGAGGACCTTTTACCCCCCTACACTTTTTAATAGTGTATTTTAAAGATACATATGTGCCCACGTGGACACGTTACTATTTTTAATGATGCAATATTTATGATGTCCACGCGGACACATATATACTGATACAGCTCCCCTCCATTACCCCTTCCCTCCATTTCGTCAAGTGTACATCTAGACGAGAGACATGTATTTTATTTAAAGTTTAAAGGTCAAGATTTTATTATATTAACAAATGTCACAACCATAGTTAAGTCAACTAATTTTAGAAAACTATTTTCCAAATTTGGTACGAATTACAATATATTCCATACAAAATTTGATATTTATTAATATCATTAATTTCGTCTTATATTTTTATATTTAAAGGTAAAAATATAAAAATCTTCTAATCATATTAATTAATAGCTTTTGAAAATCAGTTTTTGCTATTTTCGTATTTATTTTCCTCTCAGGATATAAATTATGAAGAAGAATTTTAATTACTCGGACACATTTGCAGTTTCTTCTTTACCTTCTCTTTTCTATTATTTTTTTTCCTTTTAATTTGATTATATATAAAAAAATATTTTATAAAATGACTAGAATTACTCGAAAATAACTAGAGAAAATATTTGATTTTTTTAATAAAACTAATTATTTTAAATAGTTTAAAATTGAAGAAGCTCGTCGATTAATCTATATTGTGGAGGTCCAAAATTGGGTGTCAACAACTATTTAGTTTTATTTCACCAAATTCACTTAACTATTAGTATATGTTTTATCACAAAAATCACATATGCTGAAAAATTCAATTCTCGATGAGCAATATTTTATTGAAATTTTTTATTTATTTAAAGAATCATAATTAAGTGTGATTTTCTGGTATTTTGTGATTTTTGTGTTTGTAAGATCAAACTGAAGTTTGGTGATTTTTGTGTTAGAAAACATAATTAAGTGACTTCCGTGAAAGTAATAAAAATAAAAAATAAAAAATAAAAAACTTAGTTATGTGACCATCTATGAAATTTGCCCTCACATATTAATTTTATATTCCTTTCTTTTTAATTTGTTTGACTTGTTTTTTCTTTTTTGTCTATTTAAAAAAAGAATGTTTCTTTTCCTTTTAAGTAATTTTTTAAATTCAACTTTCAACGTAACATTTTCTGACCACAACATTAAAGGGCATTTTGATACATTTGATATATCTTTAATTTAGGTTTACAAAATTCAAAATCTTCTACTTTCTTAATCTACGTGTCAAATTAAAATGGATAGAGTAAAAAATAGAAAGAGTAGTATCATCTACTAACCATTGCTTCTCAGAGATTGCTTTCTGTTTAAAAGTTGCATATCAATTACGAGATGTGTTATTACTATAATTTAATTACCCTGTTCATGAATATATATTTTTTTTGCAGACTAAATATGGGGATTTATATGATTGTATTGATTTCTACCAACTGCATTTGATCACCCATTGTTGAAGGAGCATAATTTTCACCCAAAGACGTATATGTTTAATCTCTTCCCATTTTACCTTTCATTTTTTACAACATAATATTGTTAGCACACATTTAAACATTTGATGGATCAGATGCAACCTACTTTATCTAGAATAAAGAAAAATTCGAGTGACTCAACAACTAGCTGGTTATCGTTGATATGGTCGAAAAATGGAGGTTGTCCTTTGGAACTGTTTCTATAAAAAGAATTACGAAAGATGACCTTTTAAGACAAAAATATATGCCGCCTCCGGAAGATGCCACATTCGATATGGTAAAATAATTTATGAACAATTTACTACTAGAATAGTTCATTACGTAAGACTCTTATATTGCAATACATCTAAGGTAGAGCAGCAACTAAAATGAGCCAAAAGGAGAATACATGTCTTCACAAGGATATCAGGTACAATACATGACTATAAAGATTTAATCATACTTCTATTTTTCAATTTCAAATTATGTTTAAAAAGTTAACATTATGTTGATCTACTGCCTGAGAAAACAACCAATTTTTTTAGGAATTTTTATAAATAGTTATAGTTTGGACCAAGATTATTAGCTTGCCTAATTATTACTCATAGAAATACTTTGAGTAAGGAGAAAGGTGAACGAGATTTAAAGAGAGAGGGGAGAGCTGCAAGATAGACATGTTGTGTTTGATACATATATAACGATTGTATTACTTGTACTCATCCATTCTTCTATCGTTTATATTAGCTTGCGATACATAATGATTGGTAAATTGCATCACTTGTATCCATTTTCTCTCGTATCACTTGTATTTATTCTCAAAATAGAAATATATAAATAGTGAGATACATATTGTATTCGATACTTACAGGTTGATACGATATTGTATGTTGATACAACAATAGATTGATATAAATATCATCATCTTCTTCTTCCTCCTCCTCCTTCTATACATGTATCTAAATCAACCCTTAATTAAATGAAGGTAAATATATTGCCAAATGATAGATACACAAAGTCAGCCAAAGTATGTTAGATTCTTGTATGGTGTGAATTCAAATTGAAATATTTTTTGTCGAGGATGGGTGTCGTCATAAAGTCATTATTATATAAATATAGATTTAAAGAGAGAAGAGGGGCAGAGGGGGAGAGGAATGAGAAAGGAGAGAGGGAAGCAATAGACAAGAGAGGCGAACGAGAGAGGGAGGTTTAGTTTTTCACTTGTCTCTAGTTTCCGCACTCTACCTTAGGTACCATATATTGCACTCATGAAGAAAAAATATAAGGTTATTTGGTGTATATATAGAGGTTAATCTTGATTCTTTATTTGTGTTAACAAAATTATGTATTTATGATTTTTTTATAAATTGTATACAAACACTAAGGTAAGCATATACAAATTCTAGATTAATACAACCAGGACCAAGTTATACATATTCCGGAGTTGTACAAACAATGACTGAATTACACAAATTCTGAATTTATACAATTTGGAAAATCGAATAAAAAAATCGCAAAACTGTAGTCACAGATTAAAAAAAAATCGAGACTATTTATATATTACGTAATAAAATCTAGATGTTTGTCATTTCGCGTAATTTTCCTTGCTAAATAGAGATTTTGGGCTAAAGGCCACAATCTTTTTCTAAAGAGGAACTTTCACATATAGCCACTCAAAATAGCCTAATTATTCTCCATAGCTATAGTTTGATGTGCAATTTAGAAAAAAATGCTGCCAGAAAGAGTCGACCTCATGACTAGTAGGTAAAGAACCAAAGCAACCACTAGTATTCTTTGTTAAGTGGGTGCTTATTTATATTTTATAGGGGAACTTTGACATATAGCCACTCAAAAATAGCCTAATTACTCTCTATAGCTATAGTTTGATAATTACAATTCGTAGCTACATGTTATAGGGAGGAGAGAGGCGAGCGCGACTGGAGAGAGAGGAGAGAGGTCAATTATATATGAATATCGGTTAGATAATTGTATATTGTACATATGTATTTGTATCTATGGTAAGAGAAATTAGGAGAGGGAGGAGAGAGGCGAGCGAGAGAGGACATAGAGTGGGAGAGAGGTGAATTGTATACGTATATTGGTTAGATAAGTGCATATTATACTTATGCATTTGTATATATGGCAAATTGGCAACCGAGATTGGAAGAGGGAGGAGAGAGGCGAGCGAGATTGGGAGAGGGCGGAGAGAGGCGAGCGAGAGCATAGAGTGGGAGAGAGGTGAATTGTATATGTATATCGGTTAGATAATTGTATATTGTACATATGTATTTGTATCTATGGTAAGAGAAATTAGGAGAGGGAGGAGAGAGGCGAGCGAGAGCATAGAGTGGGAGAGAGGTGAATTGTATATGTATATCGGTTAGATAATTGTATATTATACATATGTATTTGTATATTCTGGAGAACTATACATATACAAACGTGGCTAATTATACAAATTTGAAGTCAGCCCACGTAATTAATGTATAATGTTAGTCTCGAGTGGTAATTATAGCAAACTATAACTATGATAAGTAATTAAGTAGTATGAATTTGCTTAACCGCGTAATTTTCCCTAAATAGAGATTTTGGGCCCATAATCATTTTCTAAATAGAGATTTGGGCTTAAGTCCACAATCATGTAATGCGTGTAGCCGTGTACACGGGCTAAACATGTGACTGGGCTTAAGGGTAGCGAATGGGCTGGTTGACTCGAATGACAAGTAATAATGGGCCAAGATAATAAATGGGTCGAGACCCAATTAAATCTAAATTTACTAGGATCAAATGGTTTACGGTATGGATTATTGAATATGTTAAAACTCAATCCAACCCAATTTTTATAATTTTTAACCGTTTTATTTGTTCTTTAAAAATATTTAGTACCTAATAACCTTATTTGTTTTCTTTATGATGGTTATATATAACATATCAAATAAAAAAAAGTTCTTTAAAAATATTTTGATAAAAAATTTATGAG